AGTATTGAATTAACGTTAATTGTTTGACTTATTTTATGAACCGCTTTTATCACTTCTAAGCGTTCCTTCCCTTCCTTTTTATTACATTTTTGTAGCAAAAATTCTGACCAATTTTATTGAAAGTTTTAGCAAAAAATATTTGCTAACACAAGGCGATAAGGTATTTATTTGGCTTTTAGGAAAATGAAAAAGGGATGGAGTGGCATTAGTCCAGTAGTTATGTAACATTAATCGAATTTACGAAGAAATTATTAAAAAAAAAAGAAAAACCGGAAAGCTGGAACTTACAGTTATAAAGGTTTTTTTTTGCATTTTCAATAAAACTCGCCCATAGGAATTATGTTTTTCTTCGCTATTCGTTTTTATAGATTTTTTAAAGCAAACTATTGCAAATAATGAATAGACTTACGACTCAATATTGAAGTCATATAATACAAATTCTGTGGAAATAACAATTTTTTACTACAGATATGACAACTGCAAATAAATATGATATTTTATTTAAATAATTATAAATAATTTCTAGTTTATGCTAGAAATTGTCTGCTATATCGAACACCTAAAGGTTACTTAATCTAAGTGTATATTGTAAAACTGGGCTTTAATTGCTAATTAGATACTATGCATATTCTACCAAAGGATCAGCATTAAAATAATAATATAGTAAAAACAGAATTAACTCTAGTGACCAAAAAATACTGCTAAGTTCTTAATTGCATATAATATAATAAATATAATGTATTGAAATAATGTATATATGATTAATAATTAATCATGTTGAACTTAATACACAATAGTAAAACGTTTGTATTAGAAAACTAAATAAATTTATGTATGTATGTATATCGATAGCAATAGGTACTTGGTTCGTGATTAGAGAGGGTATAATTAAAATCCTACAATAAAGTCTTATGACTTATAAGAACTATATTGTGTATATATGTATATTGAGTAGCGGTTGAAAATGGCTGCAAGAAACATTAACTTATATTATTTTAGGAATTTTAAATAAATTGACAATGAAAGATCAACCTTATGGTTGCAATAAAGATGATAGTATTCTGATTTTATTAAATGTTGTAAATAGTAACCTAGTAAGTAAGTAATCTTTGTCAATATATTTGTAATGTGACCAGAGACGATACAACCATATATACTCCTGCTTCATTTATTCAGTTTTTGATTTAATCGAGAAAGGTCTTGCAGTATAACGAGTTTTCGACTTAATCGAGAAATATCCTGCAGATGAACTTAAAGCAAATCCAAGTGCTTAAAGTCCAAGGATGTAGTCAGAACGGCTTTGACTATTTCAACTGAATCTTCTTTTTTAAAGTAAGTTTCTGACTACGAGCCTGATAAAGTCTAAATATTGATTAACTTGGTTGATTACTTTAATTATCTCACATACAAAATAACTATTGCAATTATGACCACATAATACATATAAATACACAACTCACGTTTTATAATATCAGAATCCAGAACTCCATTTAAGTGCAAAAACATATTAGGCAATAAATAAGAGAAAATTCAATCGACTAATAATTGGTATAAGTATAGTTTGTCTATGTAAGTAAATTATTTTTGAGGTGTTGAAGATTTTTGGATTGAAGCATTTTATTGGGTATACATTTATACATCAATATTTATATATTAAAAATGCATTTGCATCTGCCATTATATTTTTTTACTACTAATAAAAAGGAATTATTTTCGAAATTTATGTGATGTATACAGGGAACACCCTGTATAATTTATATTAAATACAAAAATGTTGCAAATAATTTATGATTTATAAATTTAATGTGAATTGACTTGGAGTTGCTATTTCAAAATATGAAATCCATGGCATATTTTCGTTTGCATAAACAAAATAAAATTTGTTAGTACGAAAAAATAAAATCAAATTTGTAAAAAAACGCTTTCATCGGTCATCGGTTTACAGTAGTTTTGCAATATTATTTTGGCCTGATTTGAGGCACTTAAAGCGGCATTAGTGGTGTCAAATTCAAAACCCTCGTTCCATTTTCTCTATTTTGATACTTCATGAAAAACGCAATAAACACAAAGTGAGCTGCTTGGTAAACTAGTACTTAAGTGGCAGAGTGTTTTTGTTTTGCGATAGTAGAAATATGATATCTGTGCTTTTACAGTACTCCTATCTATAAAATTTTGCATATTCAAGTATCTAAAAATAATCAAAACTTCATTAAAATTTTGATACCTGATATTGCCCTAACAGAAATTCCACACACTCGTGCTCGAGCTTATATTGAAATTCTGTTATAAATATAAATGATATATTTAATTAATGAAAAAATCTCATCATTTCAACATGTATATTTTTATCAATGACTACGAATTTGTAATAAGATAAGATACTGCCTTATCACATTAATGATAAAAGATAACATTTCGCAAAAAGGTTTATGGAACAATAAATTGCTAATTTTTGTACAATTTTAAATGAATTATTTCAATGCAAATAAAAAAATTACCGGTTTAAGTTGAGAAGGAAGGGTTAATAGCTTGTGTTGCTAGGTAAGTGGATCAACATTTTGCGCGATATCCTTTGAGCTATCGGATTCATTTGCATTTGAATAGATCATTTCCAGCTTCTGATAAAATTTTATAAAATGCATTAAAGAAATTTATCAGTCATTTATTGTATAAGTGATACCATAACATATAATGATTTTTTTATAAAAAAAACAAACTTAATATAGAATTATAAAGAAGGGTAGTAGTAGACGACACATTTGTTTTTTTTTTCATTTTTTTAACGAATTGCATAATTCCTGCTATAGGGCTATTTCCTATTATTATAGTTGAACAAGGCTACTCTGCAAATAGTGCAGTAAAATATTTTCCACATACAAAAACAAGCCATCTACCAACATCATTATATCATGGATACAATAGATGTGTTGAAGATCTCGACTAACAGGCTAGATAACAGAAAAATATAGCAATAATATAAAGAAGCAACAATAACACCCAGTTGGAAACAATTCGATCCGACATCGAAGACGTCTATAAAATGTATGGAGGTTATTGAAGACATTTTCGAACAAATGAGCAAAATGTCATTATTGACTGATTAGTTTCACTATAATAAACACTTATATTGATTAACCACAAAACTTTACAAATCAACTTCAAATTTGCAGCTAATTGTCTCACAATCACAAAATTGCTAATGAGTCTCACACTTTCGCTTCTTTTATTAGAATTCGAACAATCTTATCCATTGTTCCCTTTTCGAACGATAACGTAATTTGTTATAGTTTATGTAATTTAGTAACGAATTCGAATTTTCTGGTCTCATGGAATAAAACATTTACTTCACAGCATAGTGCCATTTTGTGCAATTGTTTTGCAATACATTTTCGGACAATGTATTAATGACTATTAAGTGTTCACAATGCAACACAACTTAAAAGTGAAGTTATTTGGGTATTTAACACCTCTCCGTGTTTCCCGGAAGTTTAGCGAATATAGGTATACAGTACAACGAAACTGCAAATAAATAAGAAGATTAAGTTATTACAGTGAAAATATGTGGAGTAGAGAGCAGATTTCAGTTTATTAATGAAATATTATTTTAATTAAGATAATTATGATATAATAACCTTGCCTGGTTAATAAACCGAAGACAAAAATTAATTGGACTTCGACTTGTGTCTGAAAAAATTAAATAGATGTTTGTGTAGAGCTACAGTTTAAATGTGTATCAGGAATAAAATATTTCATACAAGTTAAATGACTATTTAGCACGATCATACCATGATCTATATTAGGCCGATGCCTATTAGAAATTGAGTTGCTATAAAAGTCTGGACTTGAAAGGATACTAGCGTGTAAAACTAAAATCCCCTGTCAGTAGTCGGCGTCAATATTTCCGCCTCTATTACAATACAAATATATACATATGTTAAAAATATATACATCGTCATAGGCGATGGGATGAGTGAACTGTATAGGTTGATGTATCTTTTGTATGGTTTTCTGTAACAAGTAGAACTTTCTAGGAGAGTAACCAATATTTTTTTTCTCACAAAATACTGTTTCAAAGAAGAAACTTCAAACAATACTCTAAGAAAATTTCTGTACGACTAATATTTATTCAAAAGCTGTTACTCAGCTTTGGTTTTGGTTTAAGAGGCACCTACATGTTGCTAACTTACCTATATCGAATGAGAATACAGAGGAAAAAGGAATTGTATATAATCTTACTATATATAATCTTAAAAAAATATAACTAGAAATTTTAATGTACGATTTACTCTGTTAACAAAAATTTTGTCATTTTTGCCTATATCTAAAGGAGGTGCATAGCTTCTGATGGATTAGATGCTGACCTCTGTCTTTCGATTAGTATTCTTTTATTTGGTATGCCATCTATGGGATTTATTTTAAAAATTAAATATTCTTTTTATTTAAATGATTTTCACTACCAAAAAAGTATAATAGGACTCATTTTCATATTTGATGTCATTGTAAGTATTTATCATTGGCCAATATTAATGAATAAATGAATTAATGAATTAGTGTTGATCTCAACAGTTCGAAAATTGGAAATGTAAATACAATATAAATAAACAAATGTAAATATATACTCTAACCCACAAATATTGAAGTTTTTATTAGCGTTTCAATTCAAAAGTAATTGTCTCTGCATTCAAATAAAACTTAATTAAAATGAGTGTCAATGCGATGATAATTGCAACTCGTACAAAAACAACAGTGGGAAAATATGTTTCGGCAGACGAATGCCTAGTAATCTATTATGTTCAGATTATGTGTTTACAATCGGTAGATGATTAAAAAATTCTCTATGCTAACAAACCCGGGCTAAAAACAAAAACAGAAACTCTTTGCCGTTCACTGTTTCCCGCTTTCTGAGTGAATAAATATATTTACATGCTAAGCGCAGAAACACTAACGCTTCTCGCAAAGCAACCCAGTTGGTTTCTCTCACTAACTAATGTCTAAATATCTTTACAGCCGAGATTGTGGACAGCTTAGCTTTAGTTTGTCTTGGTATGGTTTCAAAGGCTGTCGTAATCCAACTGAAATGGCATCATAAAAACCGCCGCTAATAGGTTTTCGGAATAATAAACGTTGCCGGCATGTTTGAGAAGCAAAAAAAGCATACTTGAAGTAAGTAAAATGGGAAATTAGTTATTATTTAATGTGTGTATGTCAGCTTGTTTGTATGAAAATTTGCTGGCGTGTGTACATATTACACACGTATCTAACGTATCTAACCTGTGTTAATCGGTGTGCAGTCTAAATAATTAAAGTACACAGTACACATATGAACTCACATACAAACTGACATCACAACGTTAACTCAACTATAAAATAAAAAAAATTAATATTTTCCGTAATTAAATTTACTTTCAGACGCTTTAATATATGACAATCAACAGAAAGAGTACTCAATGCAAGTCAACATTTCAAACGGTGTAAAACTTTTTCCAGTACCCCCTCTATCTCCCTTACACTTTACTGCTTTTCCGGGCAATTGTTTGAAAAATGTCAGATACAGTTAGAAATGATATAAGCACAGAATCCATCTGCACTGTTATTGAAAATAGCATTGAGAGTAGCATTGATAATAAGTTAGCGAATCAAAAATTGAAAATTGAGAATGAATTAAATGGTACAAGCGATTGCGCAAAAGATATACAAACGTCAGAAGCCAAAAAGGACAACCATACAAACGGTTTCAATACCGAAGACTCTAGTGACCACTGTAACGAGTCTGCTGTAAGTAATTGTGACACTTCGACAGATCAGTCGACTTTGAGTAAGACACGGGACATAAACTCAAAAGCACGCTCCAAGCTAAAGAAATCTGTTTCTTTTGATCCTGCTGATGAGAAAATTAAAAAGTTTATAGCCGGAGATCCAATCGTTGATCAACAGAATCCTTTTAAAAATCATTTCAACACTAATGGTTCCTTAAAAAAAAAAAAAGTACCACCACCAGTGCCAACAAAGCGTTCCACACTTAGTATACGAAAAACTGTAACACAACAATTACGTGAGAGAGAACGTGAAAAGGAGAAAGAACGTGAACGACTTAAAAACGAAACCAATAATCGCAAATCTAGCACAAACAATCAGAACGGTACTTTATCTTCACCGGATGAATTTGTAACAACTGAAGAGGTGCTCAGACAATCAAAATATGTTAAGACATATATAAAAAACCCTGATCCATATTTTGTGTATGATCCTACAGTATTAGCCCGCATTAAGTTTGAAGAATTACGTGAGCTTTCTGAGAAGAAGCCACCTAAGAAGCTCAAGTTAACAACACAAACGAGAGAACGCCTTAAGGACTTAAAAAATAAACAACCAATAGATACGAAGCCATCGAGTCTTTTGCCTTTCAAAAAGTGTTCAAAACCAAATTATCCCGAACTCTCAGATATTAAAGTAAAAGTTGGCACCGAACCAGACGGGAACTACTTCAATCCAGCGGAAGTAACAAAGAATGCTAAAAAATTTGATGAACGTGTCAAAAAGTTGCACATAAGCTCGGATGATGATTTAGATGAAATCGACGAGCCTTTAACTAAAAGCGAGTCAAGTGACGAAGTTGTTATTAATGGTAGTGACAAACATCAGGATTCAATTGATACAATTAATGAAATAGCATCAGAAAGAAACGCAATGAATGCTGAGAGCTCTAGCAGACAACCAGCCGATGGCACTTTCACCAACACCATAAGTTCAAAAGAATTTCAGAATTATCTTGATAAGAAGGGTCTTACACTTATTCCTAGAAAAGTACCTAATGGCGCTCAACCACTTTATGGTGACCAACAGTATAAATCCGGTAATCACATAACATTTAAAGCACCAGAACGCGTGCAAATTTCGTTGGATACTGTGGACTTAGCAAAGAATTCCAAAAAGCCTTCAGTATTTCAACGTTTGTTGTCCAATAGCATATTTGCGTCAAGGCGTAAAACAACACCCAAAGAAACAGTTCCTAACCCAAGACGTTTATATGATGCTTATGATCGACCAAAAGAAAATGGCAATGTAAGAAATGCACAACCCATTAAGCGTGTAGTACTGGAACGACAGAGTTTTCATGGACGACCACGTGTAGGTAATCTCCTAAGTGCCTCAGAAACGAATGAGCTTAAACAGCAAACGGAGCGAATGCGAAAAAGTTTTGCAAGTGGCGATGATTTATCACTTTCCATATCAAGTGCTTTAACTAATGCTGAATATGCTAATGAACCAGACTCAAGATCATTTAGTCCTTTACAAGTCTTGGAAGCACAGCATAAACCTGAAATACTAGCTAAACCAATTGTAAAACCGCCAAGACGTACATTGTCCAGAGATCGTTTGAGCAACATGCAGTCCTTAAAACAACCTGAACTTCAAAATTCTACGAAACTGAAATCAAAGACGCCGCAAGGTCAAGTTGGATACCACAACTCCTTGTCCTTGCCCAAAGCTGTGTCAACGTCATTTGAAAAGCCATCAAATGCAGATGGGCAACATTTCAGACGTACTATGGAACGTCAAAGTCTTATACCAAAACGATCTACACAGCTTAATGATAAGCAACAACTTTTTGGGCGTTCGTCTTCAATGGATCGCAATGAAATTTTAAAACGCAGCACAAATCGTGGCTTGCAAAACAGATCAAAAAGTGCAAATGAAACTAGAGCATCAAAAGTGTTAACATCGTCTGGTGACAATTTACTGGCAGAATTTAGTTCGCCTAATGGTCCAACATTGACTTCAACTCCTATAAGAGCTGTTCGCACTTCTAATAGTAACATAAATGTAAATCCTCTACCTACAAAAAATAGCATTCGACCGCAAAATGGTGTTTATGTAGATCAAAGTGAGTGGGAGAAACTAAGGGCTATAAAGGAACAAATGGATCGAGAACTTTATAACAGAGTACTACAACAGCAACAGCAACAGCATCAACAACAACTGCAAGTACAACAGCAACTGCAACAATGCTCCGATGTGGAAAATATTTATGAACGACTTCCATCTAAAGAAGTGTTGGTTCCTCCATCCATTCAAGCATCCAATTACCAACAATCTCAACATGATAGTAATTTTGTACGTAGTTCTCCACAGCGCAACACCTTTTCTGGTGTGATTCGTAATCGACAAACTAAAATTATAGATGGTAGAACCATTTTCACACCAGACCAAAAACAAGTTTTACAACCCGTTGCACTAAATGGAAATCCATTACCCGAAACAACACCACGCAGTCAAAGCGTATTAGATGGCATGATACAAGGATCGCGAAGTGGTTTTAGACGTGGCTATGAAAGTGATACAGACACATCAGTAATATTAAGACGCAAAAATATGCCTGAAAACATAGCACCCCCAAGACGTATTGGTGGAATTTTAACCAGAGAGGAAATATTACAGAAGGTTAAGGAATTTTGTCGTAAATCTTTAAATAAAACTCCTACAAATCAATCTCAAATACAAACTATATACGAAAAACAGCCGCTTGGTATCGACCTTTCTCCTGTGTCTTATGCATCCGTAGAAACCCATCAAAGACCTGGCTCGCGAATGTATGCAGCACCACAGGTTCCGCAACGGATGCAAAGTTTACCACAGCAATTTATACCCATCACACGTGAGGTGTTAACTGAAGAAAATGCTACGAATTCTCCAATCTATGCACATGTCATAAAACGTAGCAGTTTACAGTCCAATCATTCCGAATTGTACGACAGTCCACAGCGACCATATTTAATTCGGCGAGAAAGCGATACGCAACCATTTTATGTGCGCAGAGGAACTTTGCAACGAACGGAAAACAATTTGATGCCAACGCAGTATGTTATTGTAGACAACGAAAAGATATCATCTAATCAATTGCTTAGTTATTACAGTGCGGATTACTATGCACAGCCACAGTATGTGAGACCGAATCAGTTGCAGCAAATACCTGGTTCATATGGTTACATTACGGTGCAAGAACCCGTTACACATCAATTACGTCCCCGTTTGCAGGATGGTCGCAGTACTCCTTTAATACTTGATCGCTCAAGTCAACAAGCGAGTCAAAGCCAAATATATTGGACACCACAACATCAACGACTACAGCAGCATGCCGAACTATTACCAGTACAGATTAGTCCGCGTTACATGCCCAAGCAGCAGTCGTATTTGGTGCCTGTGGCAGTACCTGCCAAAAGACCAGACGAAATATTGCGTGCGAAACAGTTAAATGGAACTTCAAACACAAACATTCCTGCAATTCAACAATTTACTCCAATAATACACAACAGTACACCCACCACACTGGCACAACAATCAGTTATGCATGCACGACAAACATCCCTTCCAGTTGCTCAACCATTGCATAATGTAAACAATTCCTATGAATGGGAGAGTGGTTCAGAAGCAGGTGAGGTGCAGAGTATTTTGGAACGACAGAAAAATAGTGGTGAGTTGAAAAGATCGAACATATTTAAAAATCTCAAAATAAAAATGCTGAATATATTTGGCAATTCTAAACGATAAACATTAAGTGTGAGGTTTGATATAATATTAAAAATATACATATGTATGTATATTAAAAAAATTGTAAAACATAGATTGTGTAAGGCGCATATGCATTCGTCCAGTTCTTAAACTTAAGTCAAATAAGAGTATTAGCTATTTTGTAATTAATCTCTAGATTAATGCTTTTAATGTATTTTATATAATTTTGATATTATGGGAAATACCGCTCGAATATTTTAATTACTTCAAATGAATATAATTCTTTATTATTCGAATTTTTAAGTTCACATATCCTATTCCAAATCCACTGAAGAAATGAATCAGACTAAAGAACCTTAAATCCTGTTTTTATTTTGAATATTAAGTTTAAATCCATTTTTGATTTTACCCTTTCTGCATTTTGTGTTTGAAGGCTTTTATATTTCTGTAAAGTGCTTCTTATATATATGTATATATAAGACTTATTTTAAACTAGGCTGTAGAATATATGTATGTTGGTGCGGGCTTAAACTATTTCTAAATGATATCTTTATGTGCTTTATTGATATAAATTTCGAAATAAATGTTATACAAAGTTCCAATGAAATGTCATTGTAAAATAAAAAAAAAATAAATTTATAATAAAAGAATTAAAGAAATTACAAATTTTTGACTTTTTTCTTGTAAAAAATATTTTTGGGACATCTGTATATTTCAGTGTGGGATTCAATTACTTATATTTTTTTTATTATACAAAAACAATGTAATTCCAATTTTCAAAATATTGTCGAAATCAAATATTTAAGTACTTGAAGTCCTTCAAAAAACATAATTCGATTGTAAAATAGATTGTTAACATATCGATGTTCGCTATATACATGATATTAACCGAAATAATAAATTCAGATTAATATATAAATAGATAAATGGTTTTTATATATCTTCTATATTGTTATAAATTGCTTCAACATATTACAAATTCCACAATATAAATCTTTTTTTTAATATTTTTCAATTTATTAAATAAGTTTTATATAAAAAAAATATTTAAATTATATTCTCCAAGTAGTACTCCATTTATGTTATCTTAATATAAATCGCAAATTTACATTAAATTACAACTCTGTAAGTCTCCGCATTTACAAATATGTTGAATGTAGATTTAAATATGGGTAATGTTTTGTATGTTTCTTTCGTTTGCATCTGCTCTGCTTTTTCCATGAGTAAAATTGTAAATTGTGTTTTGTATGATTCCTTTTAATTGAAAATCAGTTCTTTAGATTTCAGTTGCAGTTAAACAACAGTTCTAAATATAAAGAAAACAGGAATATATATGTTTAAATAATTAGTATGTATATTCTATTTGAACAAATGCTTATATTTGTTTTTGTTTACATTTGTTTGTTTTCTATTCTGCTTTGTTGTGGTCGTACATTTCGGAGATATGTGTTTTCAACAGGGATGTTATAAACTGAATATAAAACTTTAGTTCAAGAATTTGTTGTACAATAAAGTAATAACTAGTGGATTTGTTTATTTACTTAAATTGTAATTTATTTTAATTGTAGACTAAATTCGTAAATAAGTTTTCTTAAGTTTCTTATATCATTTTTATATGTTTTATTTATGAAATTTATTTCATATATAAATTTAATTAAATAAAGTCAAATTTTGACTTTAAATTATTATATTATTAATAATTTAAGGTTATTATTTTATAATAGTGGTATTTAAACCGAGCTCGGTATTCGGTAAACTTTTACGTGTACGTAAAACAATAGTTTTAAACGTGCTCTATCAGATGTTGGTAAATATTATTAAAAATCAACTGAAGAATAATAACTCCAGTCACTCCACGCCATCATCAAAATAAATAAAGCCGTAATTTTTTCTTTCAGATTTGTAGAAAAACAACATTAAGTCTGGTTGAAACAATGCTGTTAAATGCTTTTTTATGAGATATATTTCTTATTGTGTTGTGTACAATATGAAATATAAAAATTATAAACACTGAAGATTAATTAATTCAAACAAAAGAGAAATAAATAAATATGAACATTAGAATAGCAATGGTTAGCATTTTCATCATATATATATTTAAATTTATTATTTGGTTATGTATTTGAATATATGTAGTTTTAACTGATGACTGATTTTTGAGTTTGGTTGCACTTTAACTTGAAATGTAAAAATTTTTGCGAATACAACTTAGCTCTGAAAATTTTAAGAGCATTGTTGTTGCTTCACATGTTCTCTTTCTTGAATTGCGAGTATTTTTTTGATATTCTGAAAGAAAATATTACGGTTTATGTCATTTTAAATAAAAAGGTGTTTTGTTATACACGAAATAAATAATACAAAACACCTTCAAAATTTCTTTTTATTAATTATTTATATTTTTATTAATTATTTATATTTTTTATTTATTTTTTTATTAATTTTTTTTTTTAATTATTTATTTTTTTGTTAATTAAATTTATTTATTTTTTTTTGCTAAATTAATCAGCTGATTTTAATATTAATTTTTTTTTCATTTATATATGCAACGTTACCAGTTGGTAATAAATTCTGAAATCCAAATTCTAAAATGCTATGAAATGTATCGAAATGCGTAATATATATTGGAATTCGTCTTTGAAGAAGTAAAGAAAAATTTTTTATCGTAGTAAAAACCAATTATTTTTTAATCAATGTTAATTGTCATATATTTTATTATGCGAATTATGCACAATAGATTATAGTAAAATTATAATAATAAATATTTGCTTCCATTTACAACTGTGCAAAAAGTCTCCAAAATTGTTGCTTTTTTTGTGCATTATTTTGTTTTGTTGCTTTTTAGCTCTTCGTGCAAATATTTTCTCTATTTCTGTATATTCCACCATTTGTACGTGCTGTTTTAGTTTGTGACGCAGATTGTTTTGATTTGGTTGTGCTAGAGTGGTCGTTACGCTTCTAATTCCTGTGGAAAAATTTAAATTGCTTGCTATTTATATTTTGAATAACACAACAAAATTAATTTAATAATTTTTTCTTTTTTCAAGCGTTCAATGTTTACGTAAGTGCCACTAAAATAAGGATTTTAATAATTAATGCAAGCGTTTAATTGAAAAACTGAATACTGTAATTATTTAGTATATGTGGGTGTGTGGACTGAGAAAAATAGATGTTTTTGTTAAAAACAACAGAAAGCAATAAATATATTTAATTGGTATAAACTGAGATCAGCTTTTTATTAATGGTAGATTTTGAAAATTGTCCTTGTCATTTTATACTTGATTCCAAGGACCTTCGCAATTCTGCCCTGCTTTTGCTGTGGTGATGAAATTAATCGTGATAGTCTTTTTCTACGTTGTTAGTTTTATTTCAATATTCATAATGATGAAAGCGACAAATTTGGTTAAAACTATTGGTACACGTACACTTAGTAATTTATTTCTGCAATTGTTTTTATCAATGCAACGAAATCGATAACCTTGCACTGCCATGACGGTGCTCTGCTGCCGCTGCAAGATTTTTTTCTAAAATTGATACAGAAATCTTGTCAACTAAATACAATTTTTTCTTATTGGAATTTCCTATTGTCGGTCAAGGTAGTTGAGTTGATAGAAGTTTTTTGTTTATTCTTAGGAGGTTCGTTTAAGTAAATTTCTATTATATGCTTGTGGCGTTCATGTGGCATTATTCAAAAAGAGAAGTTTACTTTGAAAAATAGAAATTGACAATAAAATTATCATGCATATACATTTTGATTTTGCAAATTAGAAAATTTTAGAATATTAAACAGAACATTATAATTGTTAGTTATAATTTATAAACTCTTAATAAATATTAAAATCTCATATTAAGAGTCAACATCACTATATGCTTATCAAAAATGAACAGATTAAGTATAATTAATAAATATATTACAAAATATTGTATATTATATAACAAAATATAGATATTTTTCAAATGTGACTGGCCAATTGTATATATTTCTAGAACTTCTAGGTCATGCGAAAGTGAATTACATCTCTCAGTAAAACTTAGTTTAGCTGGAAATTGTTACATTATGACTTGTTAGAGTCAAATTTTTTTTACTTTATTTTTATTATATCGGAAAAAAAATATTTTTGTTGAGCCACAATGATATGCTTGATAATCCATAAAATAAATTTTGCTTATGACCTTTTTTTTGCTTTCATTCAAGGTATTCCATATTTGTGCAATGTGTATATGGCATTTATTTTCATAACACATCAAAAATATCCGTAGACTGCCTAAATCCATAAATATTTCTAACTAATATATCATTTGTTACAATGAATAATATAATAAAATGAACATATTCTTTCAACTTACTAATCTATTTCATCGCATATAATAATATTAATAAGATACCCTAATACATATTATTATTTTCTTTCTAATTTATAATAAATTCATGTACGATTATAATATTGTTAATATAGTTGATGACCATGGCAGCTAATGTCCTTTTCTTTTATTGTAGTTTAGCGCTTTATCGCATATTGACTTGTAAATAAATAAATAAATAAATAAATAAATAAATAAATAAATAAATAAGAGTATACCTGCGTAGACCCTTTTCTGATCGACTGAATATAGGGTACCTAAAATTTGTGCCTGAGCACCTAATTTTATTTATGTTAATACTAAAATACTAAAAGTAATAAATAAATTATCGTTGAATTGTCTAATTAAATTAATAATATATAAAATAATGCAATATACTGCAGCAGTTGTGAAATATATATTAACGTATTAATGATATCACAATAAAATATCTATAACCTACAAAAATAATTAGACAATGAATTGCTTTACATTCGCAATATTTACTTTACGATAGATAATACAAATTTAATTTAATAAAAACAGAAACAGAATTCCGAAACACTATTTAAATTAAAAGTACATATAGGTACATGTTTTACAGGCTTGGTCAATAAAGTACATTAAAATATTTCGATGGGTTTCACTTAGGATGGCGATTTAAATAATTATGATACACTTAGGTCGAATGGTCCATTGTAATATTGTAGAAATTATAAAAAGTTTAATTTTAAACCCATACTAGGTTACGTTAGGTTATACCGGCAATTTGTAGGCAATACACTTAAGTCTATTGGTCGATTGTGTTACCGTATATAAAGGTAAATCCATACTAATTTTATAAGTATTTTATTATATTATGAGGTGTAAGATCGAGTTTATGACCAATTCCGCCTATATGTTCATTACTTTACAATGGAGAAACTTAGCAAACTGTTTTTTAATACAACTTAATAAAGGCCACAGATCAAAATTGCGACACACCGTTTGCATATCTTTTAAGCGACACCAGGTCGTCATTTAAACTAATTCTTTGAGAGAAAAGTAATGATTTAAAATTTTAAAGACCTATGATGGTTTTTAAAGAAACAAACATTCATAGATAATCGCCGGCATCCTTTTATCTAGTTTTCAGTTCTTCTATTGCTCAAGTATGCTATAGAAATTTTAAAAAAATAACGTAATCGTTATTACTGCATATCGAAATAACTTCATATACGTTGAAATGTGATATTACAACCTAGTATAATCTCTTAAAACGGGTCGTTGTAGTAAAATATGTTACTGGCAATAAACTTTCAGAAACGTTATTAAATTGAGGTGTAAATCAATTTAAGCTTTTGGGTGTTTATAGCTATTGATTCCTGGAAGTGTTTTTATTATTGTTATTGTATTTTGTTATTGTATTTCTCTTTGCTGACAAAATATGTTTCATTATATTTATATAGTGTATTAATTGGATGTCAAAGATAGCATTCTATATGATGATAATAACATACAGATAATAGCAACAATTCAGTAATTAATTTAGAATTTTGAAGAGTATCGTAGTATCATTAATCCAAAAATGTATACATAATAAAATAACTGCAATGAAACATAAAAAAATTAAATCACGAAACTCATAAAAAATATAAAAATATAGCTTATTTGAATCTAAATTATTTTATGCACTTAATAAATTTTCTCTCATATATTTTGAGTTTTATTTTTAGTAATATATAATTTCTATTGAACATATATGTTAATACATTAAATATTGAGAAAGAAAAACTGATTTTCTGTAGTTATTGTGTATGTCCAGTTTATAAAGTTGAACTTCACATACCTGGTTTAAAAAAAATCCTAATTTTGCCCTTCCAACATGTACTCAAAAAGCAAAGCTCCTTTGAGGGTTTCAACAACATTAACAAAACCCTCTAAAAAGGTTTATTCGATAAGCTTAGATACTGACAGGCTTGTTTGTTTACTAATAGAAAGACAAATCAGTACAAATTTTTTATACAATATTTATATTGACTATAAAATGGATCAAATGGTTCATTACCTTAAAATATTATTATTATTATTAGAATGATGTTATGTTTATCGTTTACAGAACTCTATTCAGTATAAAGTTTTTAATCATCAATATGTGGGATATTTTCTCAAATTATTTACATTTTTTAATTATAATGTTAACGTAAAAATTTTTAGTCTTATTTTCTCGTGAGGGCCCATTCAGAAACTTAAAAAATTTAGCTGAATTTTCAGGTGATTAAATATTGTTCACCCATTTTAAAATGTGTTGCAAAAACAACAATTTAAACTATATTGCTATTATTATCGGCATTAACATATGTTGACGAATAATCTGGCTTGAATACTACAGAGTATAAGTTTGAGTTTTTTGAGTCTTAAACCTTCTACATATAGCTTCTATAATTTGTTCTAATTGTGAAGAAATATTTCAGTGCCTCAAACATTTGATTAAAAGATAACGTGTATTGTAGATCAAATAGTGATGCTTGTTTTTTAGAGTACACTAAACTGTACTATCGTATTTAGTATTATTTAGGTTTCGCCGTCTTGATCATAGTTGATTTCAATTTAAATTCCACACCCTCTTTAATCCACTTCCACTTCCCTTCTTTATTCACAAAACCATCACCCATCCACATTCTGCTGCTTTATAGTAGCTTTACAGATTTCTGCAGACTACAAAAACATAGTATTCAAAAAATTTTTTAGGAATATAATTTGTGAGACAAGAATATGATAAAATTTATAAATTTATGTATTTATTATACAAAGGCGGTTTGATAAGTCAGTGAATTTTATTTTATTTTTTTAGATAATCACCTTTTAGCTCGATACATTTAGTCCAGCATTTTTCTAATTTTCTTATTACCTTCAAATAAGAGGTTTTCTCAAAGCTCTCAAAATACACGTTTGTTTCGGTAATGCCTTCTTCATTCGACTCAAATCTCTTACCGCCCCGCCATTTATTTAGGTTTGGAAACAGAAAATAGTCGCAGGGGGCTAAATCTGGAGAATATGCTGAATGGGGTAGCAGTTCGTATCCTTATTCGTGGATTTGGGATCGTAATGCTTAATCAGCACCCGAAATTCACTTTTTTCCATTTTCGTAAAAATGCACGAGGTTATCTGCTTTGAACAGCTATCAAACACTAACTGAACGACGTAGTTTGTTCAAAATTAAAAAGTTGCCCACTGGTAGATTACAGCTGACGGCAGCACTGTTGCTTTTGGAGTAACTGTGCGGGAAATTCAAAAAGTCACTGATTTATCAAACCACCTTCGTAATTCAGCGTTTAACGTTTGTTATCCTAACGTAACTATTCAGGTATAATATATTTAAATAACTGGTGTTTAATCCTCTATTGAAGTGAAACTAGTTGATGCTTAAACGAATGTCAGTTATTAACAACTTTTTTGCAGAATAATTCTATAAGTTATTTTTTAATTTATGGCAATCATTTTACCTTTTCCCAACTGCAATAATTTCTCATTTCAAAAATAGATTTTTAATTGCAAATGTAGTACTAGACATACTTGCAGTTGAACTCAACAAAGAAATTCACAAAGTTTGTGAAAATGAAATTATTTAAACAAAGAATGCAAAGAAATACTGAGGCATGCTTGATCTCTTAGGCACAAAGTATATTTATGCGTTTCATATTTTTAGTTTGAATAGTAAACACCAACGTGTAGCAGCTTTGTTTGACGAAGATAAACAGTTCGCACACGCTCACATGCTCTATGCAAATTTCGCTAGTTTTGAGTTATCTAATTATTACGGATAAGATAAAACGAATAATAAACTAAAAACTATTTGTACTTGCAGATATAAAGTGTTAGATACAGTATGAGTAACGAAGAAGCAAGCCCCTCAAAAAACTACCCACCCACACCCAGTAGTAATGATGAAGCGATTACGACGAGTTCCGAATCGGAAGTATTTGAAACCTGGACATTAGTAACGGATAAAAAGAAGACTAAAGAAAAATCTCCCAAACCTGCAACTGCAATCAAAACGACAGAAAATGAAAATAATCGCGTAGAAGATTTGGATAAACTGGATGAAGTGTCGGAGAAGGGCGAGGTTAAGCATAAAGTTGTGGAGGAGGAACATCAAAAAATGTAAGATAATAATTAAAGTTTTCGAATTAATTTCCTTTTGAATAATAAAATAACTATTATAGACCTAAACCTGAACACGATTCCAGCACAGATGATCTATCGGATGGTATATCAGTAATTAGTGAAAGTGAGAGCGCTGGACGTATATCTCCAAATCCTTATCTACGCGAACAACTTAGTAATTTGAATTTGAAATTTGCCACTGGTGTTGATTTTGGCACTGTTCGACCACAATTAACACCACCAAATTCACCACTTTTGCCAACAGTGGTCACCTTTGAAAATCAGTTGAGACAACGCTCTTCAAGAAATGACTCCAATACTGAAGAAATAGGTAATAAAAATGCTGTGGAACCATTGAAAGGTGATATAATGACAATAATACAGAATCATCCAATTGTAAGACGTGGTCTGACAGTTATGTTTTATGTTGGCGTTGCTTTGGCCTTGCTGGCATTTGTTGGTAAGTTACGTAATCCGGAATGGCCACCCCTGCAATCTGATAAATCCATTGCACAATTGCAGCAAAAATTTACTGATTTGGAGTTGCAAAATAATTTAATGCGTGCTGAAATTGATTTACTTACAAAACAAGTCAATTATTTAAGCAATGTTAATGATAAAACTGGTAATGGCAGAGACGGACAGCACCAACATTATAAACGAAATGGTGCTGGGCAAATGGAAAACAAAAGTAAAAACTTCAGAGTGTGGCAAGAAAATGATGGCAAGGTTGAAAATGTCGAAAATAGTGAAGACGACTTAAAACGTCCATATAAATGCAGAGATGGTAAATTTGTTGAAACTCCCGATAATTGTGTAGAAACACAAGCAAGTGGAGAATCATCAATGAAACAAAATGGTGATACGATGAATGATCTGAAATCTTTTAAAAATTCCGCAGAAAGACTTGATGGTCTAAAGAGGAAGAGCGTTTTTGTTGAAAAAAGAGAAACTGAGCAATTTCCTAACGTAGACACACAAAAAGCTAATAATAATAATCCGGAAAATGACAATTTTAATGGAAATAGCCAAGAATGGCGCAGGAAACAAATGGAAGGTCGAGATGATTATAGAAAGAATGAAAATTTTTCAGAAAAGCAGAGAAAATCTGTAGACAATTCTAGAGAACGTGACAGTCGAGAAAGCAATGAAAAGCATAATAAATCTCAATTTCATAAGCGCAGAGGAAGTCATGAGGCTTACGATGATCATGATGACGACGATGATTCAGACGAACGTTTCGGAAAGCGCTCATTTAAGCACGATAAAAGTAAAATCAACGATAATAATCACAAATACAATAAACAACGTCGCTATAAAGGATCATCTGGCGAACGTCACAATAAAGACGATAGTGACTGGCATGACAAGCTTATGCACCATCGTGAAAATGCTAGGAGACAAAATGAACATCAGTTTAATGAAAAAAATTGGTACATTAAGCGTGGCGACAGTCGCGAACGAATACGAGTGGGAGAAATGGGCTTTAGATAAAAATACTTTTTATTTTGAATTAAAATATTTAATGTGTTGAAAACCCCAAAACCAAAAAACAAAAAAAAAATATATATAAAACAAAAATGTTATATTATTTGTTAGTTAATGTCCTATGCAAATCCAAAATATTGTGTTATTGCGATTTTTACTTCTATTGAAACCTTAATTTTAATTTGAATTCATATATGACGTTTCAACTTTTAATAGGTTGGATATAATATAAAATTAAACAATTCTGTTGTGATAATAAAAAAGGTTTTTCATTTTTATTCTGTATTATAAATATCTAATTAATTATAAATACACTTCATCTGCAATTCTTCGTTTAGTTTTATTTTTAATTCTTATTTATGTTATTACATGTTAACCTTAAGAAAATTGATAATCTACATAAGTACATACATATATATATATATGCATTTGCATATATGAAAACATTAAATAAATATAATTGTAATTAATATTCGAAAGCTAAGATAAACGAATAATACTAAATGTGCTAAATAATAAAATTAATAAATAAATATTTTTCGTTCTTTGTCTTAAGTAATAATGGTTTAAAGGTGTTTGAGCCGCTTTTATATTATAAGAAAAACTGAGCTGTACAAGGGTAGGACCGGCATTAATTGATGATAAAATTTAATTATTAACATAAAAACATAAGTAAATTCCTAAAAGTAATTATTTAGTTTTGCTCAAATTGTAATATTTTCAATTCAATTAGAATAAATTAAAAGATACGAATGTTTACTTATATTCGGTTTTAGTTGGGCCTCCATTAAATATATATATATGACTGATAGTCGTTTTTTTTTTTGGATTTTTAACTTTTATTTCGAATGTTATTTTTAGTGTATTTTTACACGTATATCGACAAATTTCTATTTTTTTTTAATTATACAGGAGCAGAGAAAGAAGTAATTTTTATAAAATATAAAATAAACCTTTATAAAATTTCGGATATACTAAATTAGTTTTTTCGAACTGACCGCATGATGATATATCTACTATATATATATAGTTTAATCAATAGTTTTGGTAGAAATTTCTTATGAACTAAAAACGTTTAATGAAGCATTTAATATTAAATGCGTTGTTCTGGTTTGGCATAATCTTATGTTTAATGAAGAGAATTGATTAATAAAAAAAGGCAGAAAATCATTTTCTAAATAATAAATGCAACTGCTTTTCAAAATCACTTCTCTTTGTTATAGCTACGATAGCATTTTTATGTCTTAAAATGATTATGAAACGGCTTTATTGGTTAGAATAAAGTATAGAATTATGAATTGAATACGGATAAAGAAGTGTGTACAGACATTATAAACAAATAGGTGCGCAGCCTTTTACGTATGTATTTTTGTTGTAATTGTTAATATAATTTATTTTAATTAACTGATCAACTAATTAAATATTTAACTTTAATTACTAAACTAATACACAATTTTTTGGACATAAAAATAAACAATGATTTAAATTATAATGGTATATTTAAACACTTTATGATATTGTAAATAATGGGTATTATTCTGGAGATGTATTAATTAATCTTTGTTTCTGAGCTAATCAAATGATATTTACAGCATAAAATTTTTTGCGTATTGAAAGTATTTAAACAACAAAAGTTTAATTTAATTAATTAAATTTTATGACATACCATACAACTGCTTTAAATATTGCCAAATACTCAGCATGAGTATAATAAGTCTGTCAAATAAAATACTTCATATAAGAGAGTTTATAAGAGATTCAAATAACTGAATTTATAATTTTAGAAGTACGTATTTGATACTATTGGTTTATTATTTCGAACTAAATATGTATAGCTAATTATTAGTTTTAGCTAGTCTAGTATTTAAATACACACCATATATGGCAAATATTGACTAAACAAACAATTTTCAAAAATTTGACAAATATATTTCAATGTAATATATTACATATATTTATAATATTTTTTTTTAAAATAATTGATGCACTAACATAAAAAGTCTTAAAGTAAATGTCAAAAAGTCTAAAATTAAAAAATATTAGTAAGTTGCTGTCTTATCTACGAAATCCAAGCGATAAAACTCTGAACCTGTAAGATTTTTATGTATTATTAAAAAATTATAGATTTTTGAATTGCAGTGTTACTTACACTTACACTATAATTACCTTTACTTTAATTCTAAATAAAATTTATTTAGTTTTTTAAAGAACTTCTACAGCGTTTGATCTATAAACTCTTTGCTCTATGTACGCAGTTTGCTCTTCACTTTCGTCTTCGTGGCTTTGTTTGTGTGTCATGAGTGAGGTGCGACGTTTGAATGATTTGCCACATATATCACAACTAAATGGCCTCTCACCTGTATGAACTAGTAAGTGTCGTTTTCTTTGTTCTGCTGTTTGGAAACATTTCTCACAATTGTCACATTCAAAAGGTTTCTCGCCCGTGTGACAACGTTTGTGTGCAAATAAATTGCTGGAATATCGGAATTCTCGACCACACACATCACAGGCATGTGGCTTTTCGCCTGTATGTGTTAACATATGCTTCTTGTAACCAGATTTTTGTGTCATTCCCTTGCCGCATATGTTGCATTGAAAAGGTTTTTCACCTGTATGCGACATCATATGTGTGCGTAGGGACGACGATTGGCGATATGCTTTTCCGCATATCTTACAAGTGTTTGGATTATTGGGGTTATGTGTGATTAAATGTCCATCATAAGCGTTTCGTGTCTTAAAGCCTGCACCGCACATACTACATAAATAGGGAGTCTGATCCGAATGCAATTGCATGTGGTACTTGAACGAATTCGCATTGCTTAACTGTTTTTTGCAAATCTATAAGATACGATTTTATAAGAAAATTTATTTTAATATAAAATAATATTTATAACCAACACTAACCTTGCACTTGAAAAGCGGATCACTTGATTGACCATGAGCACGTTTAATTCTTTTTCTGACCAATGTACCATTGTCGTTGTTAGCATCACTTGATATTTTATTATCCGATCTTAGTATTTTTCGTATTTTTCTACTTGTATCATCGGTTTCGTTATTTTCAGTCGACATAGTATCATCATCATATGTTGGTTCGAAAGCCTCCTCAGACATATTATCATCGGCTGACTGGATCATGTATTCTTCTTCATTTTCCGTGTTGCCATCATGGCGTTCTATAATTTCTTGCAAATACACGTCTCCATCATCGATTATTTCGCCACGTTGAATTTTGAACTCCATTGGTTCTTCTTCATCTTCAGAGTTGTGCAAGACTGACAAGGTAACATAACTGGCATCATTCACGTTTTCTATGGATTGTCTCATTTGTGCAGCATTTGCTAATTCTTGTAGTTCTTCTGCCTCACCGTTTTCCTCAAGGTACTGTTGCTCTTCAAACACATACTCACTCATTGAATGTGGATCTTCACTGCAAGCAAGCTGTTGTTTTTGATTATGTAGAGCTTCATTTGTTTCAATTGCTAGTTTTTTGAAGGAATACGATCTCACTAAATTTTGCAAACACAGTTTACATATATGTGTTGGGAAAGATGGGTCATCAGCGAGGTACTCTATATCGGTGCAAAATCTTAATATTTCTATTAATGTTGTAATTTCACCCAATATGATGCCTTGTTTATGTATTGATTTATAATCGTCACTGCACTGAGTTAGACACGTACGGCAAACCACGAATTCTTTTCCCGTACTCATTTCGAATAAAAAATATATGAAATGTCTGCAATTTTATATTTTATTTTCTAAATATTAACAAAATATATGACTTAAAATATTATTGCAACCAATTTAGGTACAAAATTGACAAGCTTCACTCTTCGGAGTGTCAAAGTCATAAGCAAAGTTTTGGAGACTAAAGGAGACCTTTTATGTCACACAAAATCGAACAGGGTTGCATTTTAAATTAATGACAAATTTTTGAATCGAAATGAACACACCTTTTTCATAGTTTTCTCTTACATATGTGGCGAATCCGCCACACACATACTCTAGTCCCAAAAATAATCCAGTTTGCATAACAATCAACTTCAGCACCAAGAAGAGAAGAAGAAGATAGCACTGTGCCTTTTTTAGTCAAACAGTTTTGTTTCAACGACTCGCCACGTGTTAATAACCACTGTTTGTAAAGAATCAAAAACACAATTTTACTTTAATTTATTTTTCATTATCGTATAAATAATTAACATTAAGTTTATAAATAATTCATTAGCAGTAAGAAATAAACATTGTGTGGCAAACTAGCCCCGCATACATTCTGTGTTCTGTCAAATTTGTTCTACGAAATTTATTTAAAAATGTCATATTATGCAGATTTTGCGCTTCTACCTCTGCAAGTGTGAAAAAGTATAGTCACATTAATTTTGTAAGTCCAAAGTATTGGTAAAGATTATGAATGTGTATTCACTTTTTTAAATTTTTACCTATAGCCGTAGTTTTTTCTTTCAGAGTTGTAAAAAAACAGTATTAAGGGTGGTTGAAAAAAATCAGTATCGCTTTTAAAATATGTCAAATGCTTTTTTAATATATGTTTTCGTTATTTTGTCTACAATATGAAACATAAAAATTGTACACTAAAAATTAATTAAATTAAATAAAAGAAAACAGAATGAATATTGGAAGGGCAATGGTAAACAATTTTATCTTGTATATTTAAATGAATTTTTTTATTTATGTAATTGAATTTATTTGTAAATGAAATACTCATATCATTTTAATGGATGACTAGAATTTTGCAAAATATTTTTAGTGGACGTAAACTGATTTCTGATTTTTTAGTGAATTTGGCCACGAATAGAACCTACCTCTGAAGATTTTTAAAGTATTGCTGTTGCTTGGAATCTTTTCTTTCGTAAGTTGCGAGTATTTTTTTGCTACTCTGAATGAAAAAATTACGGCTTAAGTAGCCGCAAGGTAAATCGTAATTTTAATATCAATGTTAATTTGTATGTTTATACTCTCGTATTTATTTAATTAACATTTTTATTTCGATGTGTTTTACATACAAAATCATCACAAAATGTAAATGACTTTGATTAAATTTGAATTATTAAATAAAAAAATTATATAAAACAAATTATTTCGTTGAATAAATAATATATGACCTGTGTATTTAAAACACTTTTTGAAATAAATTTAATTGATTGCATCTAGACCGAATAATTTCTATTTTGAAAAATGATCATGCTTTTCGAAATTGGACTTTTTATATTAAAATGACTAATAGTTAGTAATAGGTACCCAATAAAAACTAATATAGAATTTAAATTAAAATTAAAAGCTTTGATATTAGATAATTATAAATGAAATTGGTTTTATTTGAAAAATACTGCTGAGTTCACATTGGTCTAAACTAGTTGCGCCGCAAGCATTAAGCTGATCCGTGTCACGTTTTGGAATACAATACATTCGATTATTCAAGATGAGGTATAAATGGTAGTTGATGTAAAAGGGGTGATGTAATACTCGATACATACAGCAATTATTTTGCACTCCTTTGGTGTCAGTTTTTATGTTGTTTTACATAAATGTACTGTTGAGTTTATTTATTTATGAGTTAACACTAAAACTAATCTGAAGTTAACTAAGAATAAGGAACCGGACTACTAGTTTCTTCGCCCTATATGTGAATTAATTCAGTCCTTGCTTATGAATTCCATCATGGAAAATATTTTTTTTTTATTTAGCTAAGACTCGAACACTACCCATGTAGTTAACAACAAAACAGTTGGAGTGTCACAGCAATTTGCAAATGTTTGTAATTTAACTAAACTTCGCTCTATAAAAAAAACGGTATGAATGTGTATAATAGTGTATAAAAACACCATATTATTATACGGTCTTTGATAATGTAATAATCTAGTGTATGGAATAATATTTCCTGCGTGTTTGACACAGTATGTCTAATAATTGAACTATAGATGGCGCAAACATTTTTAAAATAAATACACAATTAAAATAAAATATTCCTTAATTAAATGTTATTATATTATGTTAGAAACTCATGACAAAAACTAGTTAGGAACAATAAAACGGCAAAGGAGTTTTAAATATATTATATTCAGTGGTTTATATAAATTTACTATGTAATGAAATTAAAATATTTTCACATTTGAAAGTTCATATTGACATGTAGCAAGTTTGGTATATTAGATTGTATAATACGGATGAATAGACAGAAGACATTTCATTGTTTAATTATTATGTATAACAGAGAAGAGGTATATGACGACTCTAAGTTTTTTCATATAGACGAAGTCAGTTAAAGTGTGTTATTATATTAAAAAGATAACTGTCATTTATTCCACTTAACTTCAGAAAGAAAAGACTAAAGTTAATTATAATTAATAATTTTAAACCATAATGAATTATTAATGCAAATAAATACCAATACCAGAAATTTAAAATGATATTGTCATTTAGCGTTGAATCAATACATGCAAAATAAGGAATTAAAACAATTTTGAAATATGTCAATTTTTTTTTTGCAGTAGGTGGAAAGCATCGAAAGCGACTTGAACCCACTTAAACCACTTCTTAGGAATGAGCATGAAAGCGGCTGTAATTACCCCATTCCAGTTATCAAGAGAGAGAGATAAGACCGAGAGGCTTAATATTTAGGCGAAATTAAATTAATCTAAGTCAGAAAGCATGGGCATAAATCAGGGAGATTGGGAGTGAATGGGGTGGGGTTATAGCGCAAGCGCGTCTATACTAACGGTAGACTCTGTGACCAGGGTCATGAGAGCCACGATTATAGAGAGGGGTGCCTTCATCACCCATCAGAGTTTCACTCATCATTTATCAAAATAAAGAGAGAGAACTTGGGGCTAAAATATGAAGTCAAAGGTACCTGGTGAGGTACCTTCGGGCAAGTGAAAGTAAGTGCTTGTAAAAGCGAGTAATTTTGGCTGAGTCAAAAAGGGTAGAGATGTAAAAGTGTATAACATTGCCCATTATGTATTTCAAATGCTGAAATTAACGACATGTGTTTAAAAGCAAATAAAAACCATGCAACACATCGTATTGAACGTAATCTTTCAATAGAATTAAAAGTAATCAGAAAATTAGAAATATTTTTTGAAACAAAGTTAATGTCTTTTGAGTGTAAAATCAGTATTTTTGAAAACTAATTTTAAGTCAATAAAGTCTGTTAAGAATAGCAAAGACCGTAACCGTAAACGGTCTTTGAAGTAAATTTGTTCTATTATGAAGTGATGTATTTTATGTAGAAACTTATTCACAATTACGATGTGAATTTGTGGAAACTTTCAAATGTCTCCAATGTGAGTTCATTCAATGAATTTTATTACAAACATATTGTTGTGGATGTTGGTTTCGGTCTTGAATATTTTTTGCACAATTCAAGATCGTATTATTATAAATACGCAAAGACCGTATGAATACGAAATTCAAATTCCCCTTTGTGTATTCACAATTGCGTCGTGAGTTTGTGGAAGCTGATTTTATGTTTCAAACTTGAATAAATGTAATTGGGATTTCATAATTGTGGATACTGGTTTCTGTCTTGAATATTAGATGTACAATTTAAAGATCGTAATATTAATAACACACAAAGACCGTATGGTTAAAATGCCATTAATAGTCGTTGTTTTGGTTATTTTGTGCATGCTGAAGACCGTATTATGACGGTCTTTGCATACAAATTGAAATATGGGTTTCTGCATTGAATATATCGTGCATCATTATCTTTGTCTTTTTTCATAAAATTTCTATGCTTGCATTAAAATTAATTTAACTCAGTTCTATTGTGGATTAATAATTTTAAGATAATTTATATAAAAATTAGTTCATATTGATGATAAGAATAATTAATATCAGGTATCCACAAAGGTGTAGAAATATGAAATTATTCCCATATTAGCCATAATTGTAGTCGTAAATACTATATAATTAATTTTAATAAGTCAGTTCTAATGTGGTGCATTATATTTTTCACACAAATTTATTTACAATTGATAAGATTTTTATGATCAAAGTTTCATTGTGAATGGTCAGTTTTAAGATAATTTGTATACAAATTTGTTCACAATTGTTGCGTGAATTTAGTGATATGTTTTTATAAAAATTAAGTGTATTTATGTTCCCAATATTCTCAATAATAATAAAATTATGTGATTTTATTCCCATTATTATATAAATGGTAATAATGGTTCTTGTCCTTAATACATAATTTGGTAATTTGCTATTTCGAATAAATCTCTCAATTATTTTGAATTGACATTTTCTATATATTCTGCTGACTTCGAAATTTATTCACAATTATTACGACAATTTATTAATATGTTTCCAGATATATTAATGACAAATATATTTTATAATTTATAGTAGGAACAGAAAGAAGAAGTCTATGATTCATCATAAAGAAGTGTGCACTCTGGTTTTTGTCTGGAATATTTAACGAATTACGTTAAAAATGCGGTTAAATGTGAAAAGGAAACGAATTAAGATGTTCAAAAACTTGATATATTTTCATAATTTGTGATATAATCCTTAAAATTATGATAGTTTTTGAAAAGAGAGTAATTCAATTTCTATATGTTTTATTATTTGCATATACAAATCATAAAATATATGCATGTACAATGAATTACACCACCAAAAGCATAAAATTGTCGCTATTATTCCGTAAATACCATCTTAGCATTAGTTTCTGTGATTTAGTATCTATTTTTCAAGACTTCAGCTTCTCTTAAGTTTGTATTTCTTTATTATAAAATTCGCACCTTTTTTTTGTATTCCATTCTATTCTTGCCTTTCTTTTCTTTTGCGACATCTTGTTATTTTCTTAAATGAATCCTCAGATACAATAACAGC